GAGTTGAGCATTTGTTCCTCTGTTACTAACTACTAATCCTAAAGTACAACACTGCCGTTCGTGTGAATCTAGTGTTAAATAAGACGTTAATATTCGTGATTTTCGACATGGCTACTGCTAGAAGACAATGTTTGAATTGTTCTTTGATGTTAGCGCCATTTATGCGCAGACACATTCTGCCGGACATTCCCGATAATATCTTAGCCATTTTACGGGCTTGGATTACACCTACACCGGTAAGCATGAAAATTATATCTTACTTTAATAGAACTTAATCAAACAAGCGTTTGTAGCTCTTCTAAATCGTTTGATATTAAACCAATGACTTCTGTGTTTACACACAATTCTGTTTGTTATATCTAGTAGTAATCACATTATATGTGTGTAAAAGTCAATGTGATAATCTCTGTTGCTCGTAAATTAAAAGACTAATGATGAAAAAATAGGATTAAGTATTGATACATGTCTCACCTATATTTTAACACTAAAAATATTTATTTTCTCTTTCCAGCTTTCAAATGAAGACATAGTGTGTGATAATTGTTACACTTTGTTACTAAGTGCAAGTGAGAGCCAAGAACCCGTAATGCCCGCAGTTGGGCATAGAAGTGTCTGTTACGGTTGCGGAATTTCAATGTTGAGATCCAGAACTCATACCGTACCACTTGATAGTCCACAAAGAAATCATATATTATCATGGGTACCATCACATCAGGTAAGCTTTTAAGTTATGTAAATCCAGCAGTTTATGTTTTCATTTTTTTAGTATTATAATGTATATTTAAAAAAAACAAACATACAGACTTGTTCATTTCAGTATTCTCTTAACTATGCTTGAGCCAACTTATGGCAAAAATGTTATAAATCACTGTTACTTAACCTTATAAAAAGTATTTATGATTAATGTAACATGCTTATGTATTTTATGTTATGTAATTATTGATTACTGTATACAGAATAGTATAATCTTTTAATGGTAGTATGAAGTACTTAAGAATGTACTTCATTGAGGCTAGTTGATGCCTGCAGGTACTATAAAAAGATCTATCTACCTTTATTATATGGGATAAGTGAAGGTTGAGTAAAATGTTTATTTTATACTTGTTTTGTTTCAGGTAAATAGATTGGTCAGAGTTTGCCGTGCATGTTGGATGGCTGCTACTAGGACTATTCAAAGGCAATAAGGCCAAATGGCACGTATCAGATAGAAGTGTCCAAAGAAATTGAAGAAGACTTGCCATTAATATTAGGAGCCAACAATTATTTAGTTCGTGGGAGAATAAAGTCAAGACATGTATCCAGCAAAATGTACTATACGTACATGTTGATAAATAAGGATGAAAATGTCAGAGACACATTAGACGCCATATCTGGTTATTATTGCTCATGTCTCGTTGGAAAGCGAACAGTCGGTTGTTGTGCGCATGTTATGTGTATTTTGTGGTACTTGAGCTGGGC